CTTACTGCCACATAGCTGCCTTGTGACTAGAATGATTAAGATTGCCTTGTTATAACCAAATTTGTACTGGAACACACCTACCATTAGCAGAGCCATAACTTGGCTTGAGTTTTTCACTTACTGACATCCTTAATCATCCTGGGTGTCATAATATGCAAGCATTAGAAAGCAAAATCATCTTCTTATGCAGGTGACTGTGTACTAACTTTACATATCACCCCTTTATGTGAACACCAGCAACTGCAATTTCAATAGCATCATCTACAGTTTGCCCCTCTGCTTTGGCTACCAACTATCTCATTCTTAAAAGAGTAATCTTATGGTAATCTTAAAAGATGTTTATCTAGAAAGACTGAAGGCTCCTTACATCAGGGCACAGCGTGCCACATGCTTAGTAATGTATTTTTTCCCATTGCACAGTAATGAAACTTACAGAAATTTATAAAATCACATAGCTAAATAAGTTACCTAAAATACTAAAACATTAATATTACACAGATGTACATTTTGGGACTTCTTAGCATCAAAATACTGGAAAAGACAATAACCATCTTCTATTATATCTTCAAAGATAATAAGCAGCAATGAGTGTAATTAGAAAAGCTCTGAAGAAATCGGGGTTTTTTTTTGAGTAGATTTTAAAAAAAACAATGGTGTGAAAGGGAGCATGAGCTTCTCATGAACTCAAGAAGCGTAAAATAAGAAGAATATAAAATGGTAACAAAAAATGTTACTTTTTCAAAGCTGAGCAAAAGCCCGAACACACAATCTAATGAAAAGAGATAAAAATCTTACAGACCAATGTAGAAATATTTGAGACACCAGATCCAAGATTAAATCCTCAGGCTACACAGGCTCCTAGATGATCTGGGTGAGAAAGAGCTGGTTAATTTTCTTGAAAATTGGATTGCAAAAGCTTAACAGCTTGCAGTTGAAGATGACCCACTTTGCGTTGAAAAGGCATACGGGAAACCTTTAAGAAAAGAACAGAGGAAGGGGGGGGCAAGGAAAAAAGAAATCCTGAGTAGGAGGTAGCATTATGCTTGGCCTCACAGATCAGAGATATAAGGGAAGGATCCTCAAGGCAGCGTATAAAGATAGTAAACTTATCTAATACACTTAATGTTTTCATCTTTATTTTCTTCCTTCTGCCCCAAGCAATATAATTGCAGCAAAGATTCAAACTAGCCCTGCCAAGGAAGAGAAGCGGCCATTTCTGCTTCTGTTTCATCAGGAAATAAGTTTGCACATTTCTTTTCCCCCAAAAGACTGGGAAGGACAGGATATGCATACCTGTTACATCATACTCTGTCATTTCAAAGACATGCCTTACACACATTCAGAGCTCTACAGCTTTGAAAGATCCCTATAGCCGAACCAACAAGCATACCCTAATAGATCACAGAACTAATGAGACTTCATAATTGAGTTTTAAATTCTTTTTGGAAGAACATTCCTTTGACGCAACAATTTCCAGTCAGCTCCAGGGTTTGATCTTCACCAGTGAATGTCAAGCAGTACCAAATAACAAGCAACAAACACTCATTTCTAAACTGGTAATGACCACAAATGCACTGATTTCTGCAAATTTTGCACTCGTTCACCACCTCTGAAGACAAGATCTGAGATATTGTCACCGATAGGAAAATTGAAATAACTGAGTCACTTTGACCTTTCTTTCATCATGGGATGCTGTTCCTTTCCTCTCTTTTGAAATTCAGAATTTTGTGACAGTCTCTCAAATCATGTAAAATCCCCCAAACCAACAGACTTTCAACAGCTTTATCAAACAAGTTCTTCTAGATTTAAGGCCTACTGGAACAATCCCAACCAACCTATTGAGATACTGGCAGGTATCATTACCTGACTTTCTACCGCTATTAGGAAAGACCAAAAGAGAACTGTAACTTTTTTAATGTAACCAGGAGATTTTCACACTTCATGGGTTTTTTTTCTCATACTAATTTTCTTACTTGTTTCAACTTACATAAATGAACATGGGATTATACAAGATCCCATTTATATTACATCTCATAGTTGAACAGCTGCCCCAAAGCCTTAATTAAAAGCATTCAAATATTGTTAGTTTTCAAGCTTTCCAAGAACATTTTCTGTCATTCTACAGTTTCTTGAACTGCTTTAGCTGCCATTCTTTTCTGTAGATCATTTTTCTCCCAAGTTCTAAGTTGTTCCAGTCCTTCCTTCAGAGATGTATTGGCATTACTTATTTAAATCACTATCCCATGTATTCAGTTTTAAGATATATAATTGGCCTATAGTTGAAACAGTCAATGCCCAGATTTCTTTGGAAGTTCTGCATAAATATACAGTCTGATTTACCACATTTAGATCTTTATTTAAATGAAACATGTTTCTCACTGACGTTCACGAATGCAATGAAGGAAAAGAAGAAGCTACTTCAGTTTTGCTACTTAAATTACTTAAATGAGTTTTGAAAAGATTTTCAGTTACTTTGGGGGATTTGTTTCTTTTTTAACCACTTCTAAAGATTTTTGAATCAGTTGGAGAGCATTGGGCGGCATTCAAAACTATAAAGCAGAGTGCATAATTTAAGGAATATAACCTTTGTGATAATTATTTGATATTTTTTCTTTAGATTGCCAAATCATGTGTGTTTTGAAGTATTCTCTTGTGAGTACGTGTAATGAAAAAAATTCTATTTCAGCAGGTAATTTTTCAGGTGATTTGCTTGCAGCAAAACAAAATGCTTCACAAAATGATGATAGAAAACAATGTATTAGTTCCTTTTTTTCTTCTTCTTAAATTACCATTCTTACAGTTGGAAACTAGTGACTTCTTTTACTGGTGACTTTAAAAATGCAGTGGCAGTTTGCTTTTTTCCTGTAAAGATAATACTGCACCAGGAACCTTCTGTAATATTACTTGTCTTAGAATAGCAGAAGGGTTTAGGCCGGAAAGGATCTTAAGATCATGCAGTTCCAACCCCTCTGCCATGGGCAGGGATGCCTTCCACTAGACCATGTTGCCCAAAGCTCTGTCCAACCTGGCCTTGAACACTGCCAGGAATGGAGGATTTAACATTTGTTTGGGCAACCTGTTCCAGCACGTCACCATCATCATAATAAAGAGCTTCGTCCTTATATCTAACCTGAATTTCCCCTGTTTAAGTTGTTCTATCACTACAGTCTCTGATGAAGAGTCCCTCCCCAGCATCCCTATAGGCCCCCTTCAGATACTGGAAGGCTGCTATGAGGTCTCCACGCAGCCTTCTCTTCTCTAGGCTCAACAGCCCCAGCTTTCTCAGCCTGTTTTCAGATGGGAGGTGCTCCAGCCCCTGGTCATCCTCATGGCCTCCCCTGGACCTCCTCCAACAGTTCCATGTTGAGGACACCATAACTGCACACAGTACTCCCAAACAGGGTCTCACGAGAGCAGAGAAGCAAAATATACTTAATTGCATAATTATTAGTATTAGCATCCTAGGCATCTACCTGATTATATTCTTCTACTTCCAGATTGCCATTCCTACCCACAATATGCAAGAAATCCAAATCCACCTCTGATATATTAGAGATACAGAATTCAATGCTTTTTAAAACTGAGCAAAACATTCATTCACTTCTCAACTGCCTCACTTCTTGGAACTGCAACATACCCCTTGATACAGACTTTAATTCTCTAAAAACTCATCACTCTTCATGTCTACTTTTCACACCATGAGATTTTATTTCTAAATGTCTGACTACTTTACCTTCTGGATCAAGTACGGCCTCATATCAAGTATCAAGTTTGGTTCCATTTCTTTTTGTCACTACCTCAAGTTCTGCTCAGATGTAAGTATATTCTGTGGTACCAACAGCTTCACAGTTCTCTCAACTCCACTAGCAAAGCTGTTTTACCCACCCCCCTTTTCATAAAGTATATTTTCGGTTCCAGCCATTTAAAGCTGGTTCCTTCAGTTCAGTTTAAGCCATCTCATGTTCCCTTTTAAGGTGTGGGTTTTTTCTTCCGTGATTTCCACAGAAACAAAAGAACAGTTCTGAAATGTGTAGCTTCCAGAAGTCCTGCCTGTTGACATACTGAGACTACAATCACAGGGATCCACTGAGCTTGGCCTGGGAGGACGGGAACAGAGTTAAGGCGGCAAGCATATGTCTGCTACGTGCTGTTAGCCTAGTGATCCCTTGGACTAGGGGATGGGCTGCCTGGGGAGCAGCATGTATATGCAGTTTTATAACAAAGCAGACAGCTGTTCTTGTTGTTCCTTTGATATGTTATCAACCAAGACACAGAGTACTACTAGAGAGAAAACTGGAGGCACTTTTACAGCTCCCTGTATGCCATTTCCTTCTAACCCATCTCCACGATTCACCTCAACATCAGCGTTCATCCTTTCTCACCATTATGTTTATTACTAGCTGACACTGACACATCATCTACAATACAATATGGGCATTTTAAAACCAAAACCCTAAAAACAGAAACAAATCAACCCCAAAGAAAATGAGGCCTGTAGCTCTAAGCACCCATCAGCAATACAACTAAGCAAAATTATTGACACTGTGCAACACCCGTACATGCACGCTTACTTCACCTTATTTCCTTTCTCCAACTGCTGTGAATATTTGAAAACATGCTACTTGGTCATAAAAATGGGCAATAACGAAAGCATGCAAAACATCACTAATTACCTAAAAGCAAATTCTCCAAATTCTATTTATTTCCACTTAATCTGTAAGACTAATGTGATGAAGGAACATCAGCAACCCAGCATCCTTCATTGTCCTACGCCATGAAGGACAAACAGAGACAAACTGTGAAAACTGGAAGTACCACACTGATACAAAGGGAAAAATTTCCATGCAATTTAAAACGTTCTGTTCTCATAAAAGTAAAACCACAAGAACACAATTTCACTAGAGTACAGAGCCTACTAAGCAGCAGAACATGAGGCAAAAATTGAATCCAAAGCAGCAAAACAACATCATTAACATTAATTTATGTCCTTAAAGTCTTACCTTGTCTTACTAGATCTTGATTGTGAAGCTACATCAGTGCCCTTTATACCTGGACTGGAAGAGAGGGGAGAGCGATGCTTAGTACACACAAACTATTACAACTGATAAATAAGAGCTGTCAGCAACAGTTTCATTTCAATTTAATAGTTAAATATTTTGATTCTCTGTGATCAATACAATTAAACATTAAGGGCAAAATTATTTTTCTATCTCTAAGCAGAGGAGAAAAACACATTGAACTCATTCTGGTATCTTAAAATTTCTATCATTATAACAGTTTTTCATTTCATATATTTTCAGTATCTCACAATTGAGAAGACTTCTCCCTAACAGAAAAGAATGGCTCTTGTGCCTATAGGCAAGAACAAAGAAGCCAAGGTTTAACTTCTAATAAGACAATGGTGTTTGTAAGGACAATACAGAAAAGGTCAAGACAAAAAACCACCAACACAGTACCTCACGTCTTATACAAACATTCCTACCCATACAAAATGAACATAAGCTCCTATCAAAGAGGGATCAACTTTAAACCACTTGGCACAATTTGCCTCCACTTTGCAAACTGAAGAAACCATGCCACATTACAGAGAAGTCCAGGTAATGTATTAAGACCCAATATTAAGCACTATGAATAATTATCTTATTAGTAAATGTGCTTAAGCCTATCAGCATCATCAAAACACAGACATTTCCAGATCACCTAGAAAACCTTTTGCCTTTGTCTGCAAACCATTCCACTACCGCATTAACAATAAACAAGCTATTTCTGTAACTGCTATTCATGCTAAATTAAAATCCATCTGAAAACATGTATCTATCAATTCAGAAGGTTATTCAAATAAAAACAGAACAAATGAGAGTAGCGTAAGAATTCAAATCCAGAGCTTAATCATTACAGATACAGCTCACTTTATTTTGACCAGTCAGCTCTTAATAGTTTAGCTTAGTAAGACAAAAGTCAATTAGTACTTCTTTAATAGACTAATCATTTTGCATTTAATTGTCATATCAATAATACTGGCATATCCCTACAGCAAAGTCAATAGTTATTACATCAACTAATTACAATCTGAGTTAAAAGGTAACTCGCTGAGTGTTCTATTCACAAAACACAGATTCTTAGAACTAAAACCAGCTCTTCACAGCAGGGGGGGTAGGGGAGGTTCATTTTCCTCTGTGACTCAACCAAAAACATTGTGTAACTCACTCTCACTATACAAGTGACTTTTTGATTGGCATAATGAGAAGAACAGTAAAACAGATGGGTCTTCTCTGAAGTTGCACAGGATTCCCACTGGATAATATAAAATGCTGACAGATAACAAAAGAATTCCACAATTGTTACTCACTGCAGATTAAAATTTAAACATCATCTGAGCAAGCCAAGCATTTGAGCTGTTTTTCTTAGCTTTGCATTATAAAATACAGTAACCTAAACCAGGAATTAGATTGCTTAAGACTACAGTTCTATTAATGACCCCAGGAAAAAAAAAAAAATCTTACTTACAATCATGAGACTAGGAACACTACAAAGTTGCTTTACATTCTTCTGCTCTTAAGATAGTCAGGGGAACCGCATGTGACAGTATTACACATATCACTCGCCAAAGAGAGTAGTCAAAGCAAACACAAAGAAAGATCAAATATTGTACATTGCTGAACTTTCTTAGAATGATGCTATTGAACAAGTTGTTTTATGTGTAAGAAAAGCCCCACAACATAGAAGAATACAGAATTTGATATCTGAGTGTTAGTAAAAAAAATTTTTTTTTCTCTTTTCCTAGCAGATAAATAGTAATAATAATAGAAGAAATAAGATCGAGGATATCCAGACCCCAAGGATTTAGGGCTGAACTCAAAATGTAGGCTAAAACTGAAACATGAGAAGAGCCAAAACAGGCAAAGACCTTATTTGTAAAGGGAGGGAAAGCAAACTTATCAAATGCATAGTTAAATGAATCTCAAAAAAAAACAAAAAGAGACAAAAAAGAGCAACAAACATTGTAACAAGAGAAAAAACAGCATGAGATTATTGTAGAGATGGATCTCGGTGATCTCTTGGGAATGCAATAGCTTGCAGAGGCTAAAGGAAATTTTGAAGTGCCTGAGATAAATAACCCTGTATTTCAAGCTGAATAACGTCTCAGATAACAGCAGAAACACAGACATTCTTCTTGGACTGCAACTGCCATCCAAGAAGTATAGAATCATAGAATAGTTAGTGTTGGAAAGGACCTTAAGATCATTTAGTTCCAACCTCCTATATTTTCCCAGGTCCATTCATAAATCAATGAAATAATTGCCCTGTGAGCTGACACACATCATGCACACATTGGTTCACTATGTATTCATAGCAAATATACCTTGAAGATGCAATTCGAGCCTGATCAGTTTTTAAATAAACATTTCTACAATTACCTAGGCAATAAAACACACAAAAACCCTCAATACCATTAGCACGCATCTTCAAACATGTGAGTTCCACTTTAAATATTTATATAGAGAGTGTCATGCAAATATTTACCATTAAATTCTAGTGTAGTTATAGAATATAATTCTGGTCTGATAAAACCAAATAGATAAGCAAAACCATTGAGAAGCTGAGATGAAGGGAGAGCCAAAACAACAAAAATATGTCAGAAATGTCAGATTCTTAATGCTCTACAGCAGCACTAAGTGTTATATCGTCTCTAAAGGTGAGGAAAATGAGATGTACAAACTAACAAGTTCAAACTTCTGCAGAGGGGATTGCTGTGAATAGAAACTCCATATTCCTACTCCTTCAGCTTCAGGAATATCAATCTCTAATGATTTTTAACAGGGTTTTTCTGAATAATGTTGATGCCATTATGGTCTTCATGTTTATCTGCATGTATATATATACATAATATATATATATAATGTATATATAGACACATACTATACATACATATATACACACGTGTTCACAAACATGCACACACATACTGAAGTAAGTCCTGGTTGGGTGGTTTACCATAAACAATAAATGGAAAAATAATCAACACTGTGCTCACTAGGAAACAATGTCAATGTTTCTTATGCAAAATCTAACAATTTTCTTCCTGAAATGTATCAGATTTGGTTTATGGTTAGAAGAGATCTTTTAAGATCTCTCATCTTAAAAAGATGGTCTGCCAGCATCTACTTGTGCTTTGATTCCATCTTGCATCGGGAGACAGACTAGACAGTCTCCTGAGGTCCCATCCAAAGCAATCTTTCTGCAGATAACACTTTTCTTCTTCATACTATGAATGCATAAGAGAAATAGAGAAAGTGCAATGGGATTGTTATAAATAGCAAATAATAATTTTGAAAACAGAATGTAGGAGGCCTATCACCAGTGTGATTTGACTACTAAACCACCGTACTTCAAAGCACATAACCTCTTCCCTCATGACTTAGTAATGTATGCAGAAAAAACCTGCAAGAGCCAGAGATTTATTCCGCTTCCAAGACATGTAGTTTGTTGTATCAACCAACTAATGCACAATATATATATTAGAATTAAACCCTGTCCACCTCTCCTGAAACTACTTCAGGAAATTCATATCAAATCTGTCTGCTGCAGTTAGTTTTTATGACAGAACTATTACAGAGAAATAAAGTGTCACTAGTGAAAGGAATGTCAAGCTGCTTTGAACTGGCTAAACAGCATCTGATGTCCTCAAGGATTATAGTGCATTATGACCCTGCCCTGCCAATCTGTTTAGCTTCTGACACTTCACCATATGGGGTCAGAGCAGTGATTCCTCATATAATGTTAAATGACCTAGAAAAGCCTGTAGCATTTACATTGCAAACACTAACATGGCAAAGGCTCGAACAGATGAAAAAGCTTTAAGATACATATTTTGATAGTGTTATATTACTAAATTTGACTATTCTTATTCCTTAATGGCTAGGATAACCCAATAAACACGCACCTAAATGGGTTTCATGTATACTTCTTTTATCTAATCTCAGTTAGGAAATGCATGCAATGTTTCTGACACCACCTGGAGACTTGGACAGTGTCATTTTTCACTGATCATGGCATTTCAGGGAAGTTATCATGGCTTGGCAGGCCAGCAATGCTCTTGGGGAAAATAAAGATAAGGTGATAGAAGAAAAAACTCCTAATCAATTTTAAGAAATGCATTCTGAGCAAATAGCACAGTGAAATGGTCATTAAATGTAAATACTTTCTTGTGATGAGATGCAGTTTAGCCGAGCAAACAGCAAAGTACTTATTCCAAGTCAACAAATTGTTCTCTTTTGTTGCACGAACTCTGCTATTACAACATCATAGCATTTTTATCTCTGAAAACAGAAAAAAAGGTATGCCGAGTTGAATGAAAGGGAAAACAGCTTCTACCAAGTTTGCTGTTTGCATACATGCAATGAAACTGGAACAATATGGGAGCAAAGATGATCTTCATAAAGATGTATTCATGCATTCTTTAAACATTCAAAACTCACGGTTTCAATGGGAGTACTAGTCTAAAAATATCCAGGCTGAAGAACCACACGCACACAAAGAACAGATGAAGCTTTGAAAGTTAAAAGGTTTTTCAAGATTTTATTTCCTTTCTTTTTTTTTTTAATGAGATAAATTGGTCTGGTTTCATGACTAAGTCATAAACGTGTATGTTAAACCAAGAGAGACAATATAATCAAACATTACATTCCTTATAAACAAATGATGCCACCACTACAGTACACTCCAAAATGCAAGAGGAAACTCTCTTTCAGAATGTATGCATGATTTCACAACCAAAGAATAGTATCTGGATATTCACCTTCATTCTTCCACAGCCTTTTCAGTACAGAAAGTAAGAAACTGTTTTATGGAATTATATACTGTCCGTCCTTCCCAGTCTGCTTGGCTTTATTCCTGGCATGTAGCATTAACTTCATGTTACGTTTAGTTAGTTATATTTATGCTTACATTATGTACGTTTACGTATATATTATTGGGTATAAGGAAGAAGTTCTTTCCTGTTAGGGTGGTGAGGCACTGGAATGGGTTGCCCAGGGAGGTTGTGAATGCTCCA